AATTAACATAATTTATCGAATCAAAAGCCGAACATATTGAAAATTTGAACTATTCCTGGCTCTTTGACCGCATCTAAAAAAATTGTTGAGCTTATCATCTAAAATTTGAACCATTGAATGTTTGCAGAAGTAAGTATTTTTCAATGAATCAAGAGTCGATAATAATCAAAACTTGAACTATCTATCTGCTTCTATATTGATGATTTTTAATGTTCAATGCTTATTGTAATAGTATCTGGCCTCTTTTAAAAGTGTTCCTTCGGATATCGAGACAGCATCAATGAAAAGGTTCTCCTGGTAATTAACTTTCTTTTTGTATATTAATTTTAGAGTTTGCGGGTGTTATTATATATTCATAATGACACTGAGTGCGAATATGAAGGCCCTAATAACATATCTAAATCAGGATGCTATAATCTGGTTTCTTCTCGCTAGAACCTCCTCATAAATTTAAACACAAAAAAAAGGTGAACATTGTGTAATACCAAAGAATTTGTCCAAAAAGTTACAAAGTCACGACAAGATTTTGACCTAAAAATCAAGACAGTCAAATCTCAAATATCTTATAGCTCAGGACTCGATACTTGACACAAGATCTAAGATTTCAGACTCTAAAGTCTAGATTCTAGAGATTATAAAGACGTTTGCAAGTAGGTATGTAAATATCGATAGAAGGAATACCAACTAAACAGTTATCATTTAACTTAAAGTATAGGTGTATTTCTCTTAACAAGTTCCCGGACTAAAGTGGAGAACCGCATCACATCACCAGTCGGGACAAAAATTCCTATAAAAGGCGTATCGAACAGATTAATTTAATAAATGCCTACCTGGAATACGGTGCACCGCGGCGAGCGATAAGGTAAACCATAAAAAAAAAACATGGAGGCGATAGCGGCGCAGCTGGTATGCCTCCACTTTAGGTAGGGCCTATTTATTAAAAGATTCCAACCTGAAAGTAGTTAAAAATGTCCATTTGGGACTATCTAAAAGTCTAATGCTTCAGATAATCGGAATCGTGGTCTGCGCGCCATCTATTTTTACCTGAATCTTTTATAAATAGTTGTATGTTTATAACCAAGACTTATTAAACGATAAATCTTAAAAATATTTATGAGCTGTCAGAATCAAAATGGAAATGGCTCTACCCAAAAATTAAGTTTTGTTAGTCTCATCATGTATAACAAATCAACTTTATGCTAGATAGGGCAGGTGGAATAAACGCTCACAGTCCATTTCCTAGTAAAAGTTTTCGAGTTGATTGGTTTATTTTCATTAGGGATTCACCTGTGTTTGGTTTTTGGTCGGGTAATAGAGGGGGGTTCGACCGAAAATATGGAGCTGTCAAACAGTCGAAGAATTATTATACCTAGTCGACCGTTTCAGTGAGAGTTGTAATTATTTTTTCAAATAAAATTAATGGTTTTTCGGTTGTTTCGAGGAACTATTAAGAGCCAGAAATGATATAAATATGGAAAGAAGACTAAATACAGATGGAATTACAATGAAAATAGTTAAGTTAGAACAACAGTTTAGACGCAAACAATACGCTTGGCATTGGGAATTTTGAGAAAGTTTAAATAATCAAACTCGCAAACTTTCAAGAATTGATGAAATTGATTCACTTCTTGTTCCTTTCCAAGATTTCTCCATACTCTCACGTCCATCAGTTCTTGAGCGTCCTATTCCACTAGTGCCACCCATCCCATCTCTTCCGTGACTCCCTTTCCCACACATTCAGCTGTTAAGTGGTCTCTTTGGTAATCTCTCTTCTGGCATTCTGATCACATGACCTGCCCATCGAAATCTTTGCAGCCTAGATGGGAGCTTCTCTGATCAGTTGGTAAAGTTCGTGATTTTAGCGTGCTCTTCATATTACCATTACTATTACTATCTAGTCGATATGGGGAAAGGTAAGACCTGTGAGCCCATTTTTGCACTGTTACTTATTAATTGTGTTAGTTTTTGGGTGTTTGTTTTGATTCAAGCACTATGGGAACTGACTCTCAAGTTTTGTCTTGAATACTGACACTGAAGTAGCACTAACTGTTGCAGCTGAGAGTTCATTCCAGAGGGCAAAGACTCTGCAGAAAGTTTCCCTACACACTGTGGAGTAGTTTGAGACTGTTACCCCGCAGTCTCTGGTCTTTGTTCAAGGCATAGAGGTATCTAATTGTGTGAATGTTGTTGTTGAGTGTTTGGTAGAAAAAACCTCTTGTTCTTCCATTTTGGAAGCTCTGCAGTTTTTGTTGGTCTAGTATATGTAGGTCTTCTTCTACCAAGTTGCAATCGTGTTGCTTCTTGGAGGGTGCTTCTTTAGGAGGAATAACTTGCTGTTGGCTTTTTTGCATATAATTGTTACATGTGCTGACCAGGTTAAGTCTTTTGTTATCAGAATTAACTCCAAAGTCATTGTGCTGCTGAACACTGACCAGTACTGACTCATGTATGTGTGACAATGTGTGTGTTGGAAGTGTCAGTTGCACCGCGACCAAGGTTGATCTATTGTGCTTCTTGGACAGTGAGTTTCCAGTAGTAGAGCAGCTCGTTGCTCTTCATTTTGTGTGTAACTACCGTCTGGTTTCTTAAGTGTCAATGGTCCTTGCGCATTCCCTTTCGCCAGGGTTTTATATAATCTGACTGCTGATGGTGTTTCTCTGATAGATTCACAAAAGTCTCTGAAGTTTTTTCGCTTGGCTTTCCTAATTTCCTTGTTGTACTCAGTCAGCCTTTCGGTGTTGCCTTGCCATTCTCCGTCTCGTTTGGCTTTGTTGAAAAGCCAACCAACCTCGGATCTAAATCGCGACAGGTAACTGTTCCATCATGGGCAACCATTTTTGTTCACTGACCTGGTCTTTCACGGAACAGCTAGACTCCTATGCCTCCATGATTGCTCCATAAGGATCTGAAGGGTTTCTTCTACTTCACGTATATTCTTGCAACTAAAATGATTTTATTCGAAGTTGTATTGCAGTTTGGTTGTGCATTTTTCCCAGTTCGTATTTCTGGGGTTTTTATACGAGGAAGTTCGTTCCTGCACTCCTTTTACGTCAAACATTATGATTCTGTGATCAGAAAGAGAGGGATCATTGGAGACGCTCCAATTCCTGATGATTTGTCAATAACACTTCCTGTCTGACCCTAGTAACAAATGTTGGTTTATTCCCTACATTTAGTATGTTCAGGTTTGTTTGAAAGATAAATTATAAAAGTTGCTCACCTCTTAGATTTGTGTCGGTTCTTCCCCAGATGGTGTTGTGGGCGTTGGCGTCACAGCCAATTAGGAGCTGTAGTTTGCTCCTGTTGCAGTACTCGACTAGTCGCTGTATTTCTTCTGATAGTGCTCGCTCAACTCCAGCGAAGTAACCTGATGCCAGTTCTAGGTCGCGGTGTGGACTGTGGTTGGTCGGTGATAAGTACTGACCCATTGATGGTGTATACATTTTCTGGTTTATTTTTCCCAAGATGGAGTACCACAAATTTTTCAACATTAAGGGGTAGTTGCCAGTTCTCACACTACTTCTTACCTTGTTTAAAATCATTCTGGAGCTAGTCAGAATTATTGGCGAGAACAAGTTTTTTGTCGTCGGCAAACATTGCACATGTTGATATTATTAGGTTAAGGAGATCTAAAGTGTAACTATAAGCTACAAACAATAGAGGTGCGAGTACCGAGCCTTAGGGTACGTCACTTTGTACTGGATAGAGTTCAGAGTATAAGTCGCCAACGACGACTTCGTAATCCCTGTTTGTAAGAGTTTTTGGTCCAAAACAGTAAATCCTCTCTCACTTCAAAATAATCCAGTTTTAGCAGAAGGTTCTGGCCTGGAACTCGGAGGAATGCTTTGTTGGAAAAATTCAAGTATCTATACAACATCAATAGAAGTTTTTTGATCTTATGATTTTGTCCAGTTGTCAAGAAAGCATGTTATGGTAATCCGTTTTGATACAAAACCATGTTGTTGAGTTACACCTCTCATATTTTCTGCGATCATAGATTCCATGATTTTGCTCACAATGGGAAAAAAAGCTTATTGAACTGTTTCCAGCATGTAGTTTTTTATTATCTCTATCACCTTTTTTGTATATCGGGGTGACTGATGCAAGTTTCCAAGCGGCGGGGAGCCTTTTTTGCTCCAGTGATACATTATTTTGAACTAATGAGGATATTGCGTCCAGATCTGGACAGCTGGCAACCTGCAGGGCTGTTATCTTCTTTAGCATGTCTTGTTGTTGAAGTTTATTTGGAAATCTTCAGGAATTAATGCTTCTGTGGTGAATACTTTGGAAAACTCGTTTGCCAAGAATATTATCTGTGCACATTTCCCCATTTCGAGTTTTTAAAATAGGAATGACCACTTTGGTGTTTAGTTGTGATCTAATAATGTACTTGTGTAGTTTTTTTGGGGTTCTCAAGGTTTGTTAGGCTGTAAATGTATGCCAGCTTAGCTTCTTGAATTTTTTGTGTTAGAGTATTAGGAGAAGGTGCGATATGTTCCCTAGTAGTGAGTGGAAATGCCGGTAGGGACCTTACCCAAGTACCATTTCCATAGAACCCTTTTTCTCCTACAGTCTTGACTATGTGCTTGTTAGCTAGCTACTGTTCAGCTCTGGTTTCAGTGTGTAGTACCTTCACAAAAGTAGCTACACTACAAAATAACTATAATATGTATATTGTTTTCCCAAGTCTGCATCTTCAGACTCTAGTCTTAATAATAGAGATCAATTTTTATGAAATAGAATCAATAAACAATAAAAGTAGGTACCTCTAGTAATAGTCAAGTACCATTTCTCCAAGGTATCGGGTCTTCAAAAAAAAAAACCAATCAAAGATTGCTTTGGTTACGAAAACGTACGTCGCATTATTGTTTCTTTATTGGTCAGATTTTTGACATGTCATTTTGACATTAAAGTTCGTTGACAAAATTAACGAAAAATATTGCTAAGACATACGTTCAAAAAACCATAGCAATCTTTGATTGGTTTTTTTTTTTGAAGACCCGATATAAAGTCTCAAGCAACGAGTTCATTTTTCGGATAATGTCAGTGACAATACACCAGTTCGACGCGAAACACCCCAACGAACTTTTTAACACTATTTTCGCCCGAAAACTACTCGAAAAACCACAAAAATTTATGAAAATAAAACGGATCGAAATTTAAGTAAACAAACAAACCGACCGGGTGGCCATTTTGACGTTCTATCAACTTGTGACAAACTGTCGGGTAAGGGTACGTTCACACTCAATAATTGCAGTAATTGGGAATAAAAGGCAATTTTTCGCGAAGATAACCATGCATGTTATCTCAAAATCCATATAACATGCTTGTTATGCTCAGATGTTATGTGTCAATTGTGTCATACTCCCCTAACTCCGCTACCATCAAATTATGAGAAACTCGAGGATCAAAAACACTTAACTTCTTCTGTGAGCACCAATGAACTATAACCAAAAACTGGAATGCGTACACATATTAACGAGCGTGAGGCCTAGTGCCGCTGCTGCGGAGGGGATACCTGTTTTTGTCGCACTCATTTTGTTAAATGGCGGAAATTGCTTCCAACACGTATTCCAATTGATGTAACCTGTAAAGGTAAATATGACAAAACTTTCCAAAACTTCATATGTCAGCGAGCAACAGAAAAAAACAACATTCCCCTTTGTGGCATCTGTCTTTCATGGCTTAATTTTTATGGCAGATATGGCATTGTGTGCGCATTCCAGTTTTTGGCTATAGTTCATTGGTGAGCACAGACCGAAAATAACCTTTTCTTCATTCAAAATCGACGAAAATTTACTTCACTAGCACAGCTTGAATCGCAAGCATTCCATTGAGGTCTGCGGGTAACGTCATCACTATAAGCTGCTGATAGTGACGTCACTCGCAGGCCCAGAATTGGATGGTGAGGGAGTTCAAGAGCCGGGAATAGACAAAAATTGATTAAAAAAGAAATCTTTATAATTTGTGGAATTGACAGTCCGTCATCGGCTTTCCTTTTCTAATCAATAAGAGTGACAAAAGACTTGCTGGAAAAATATGCCATCAAGTTGGTCATGAATTGCCACATGCACAATTAATATTTGACAAATACTTCGTTGTACAATGTGACAGAAGTGTCTCGTATTTGGTTTTTTATAATTATCTATGGTTATATCTCCATTCTCATTAACGCCAGTAGGTATATAATTTTCGGAGGATTTTTCTTTCAAAAATCTCCAGCTTGCTTTTCAGTCTGTCAGTCATTTTTTTCTACTTATCATTGCATAGTCCATACGTGATACATTGCGCAACACTTCCTCCTCTCGCTCATTATTTGTTGAGTTGAAGTTTTCAATTCTATGTGATTTTTCTGCGAATTTTATTCGCGAATTATTCTAGAAACATTTCACTCAAAAATAGGCTGTTCAAGTATGAAATTGATCTTAATAAAACGAATATTCATACTTCCATGTCCACACTGGCAAAGTCAAGTCTTCCTCCATTATCAATATCAGCCTCATCAAGAAATAATCCAAAATCAGACTGCATTTTTCCCAGAATGTGTACGCTTCCTAAAGTTGGAGAGATAAAATTAACTACTTCTGAAAAAGCTGCATTAGAAAAAAAAAACAATACCTACACCTACCTAACATCAACAAATTTTGGGACACCATTAAGCTTCCACCATAAACAAGATGATGATGATGATGATTATTATTATCATTACCATTATCTCGACTCTCACGGATACGGAAGGTTATTATAAGTTTGATAAATCGTGTGACTTTTAATGTAGGTATAGTTAAACCCAAATCAAGCATGAATCTAGTCTGTAATGGAGAATAAAAACTTTTTCATTGATCGGAACAACATCAATGGATTCCCGATAAAAAGTGATTGTTTGCGGTTTTCAACTTTTGACTAATTATTTTCGATTTTCATCAGGTTTAATGGGGCTGATGGTTTTTTAATCCAGAGCGGGGCCTTTGTTGGAAATTAACTTGAGTCGACTGTTTTGCTTTTAATTCAGAGTAATTTACAAAGAGAAAAAGCGAAGCAAATCAATTGGGAATTACAATAGTCAAGCAACATTTAGCTCCAAACTGATGTAGTTTTTTTTAAATCAAAACAAATCTTGAGAGAATGAGTTTCTTTAATGTTCACAATACATTTCTAATAATCACGTTCAATACAAACACGTGTAGCTACTCTTTCGCACTCTTTAAGCGTCTTGAAATTATTATTTGTGGCTCTACAACCACCGTAAATTGCCTTTTCACATTTTTTTAGAGTATTGTTCCAATGGTAAATTTCAAAGTAAGCATTGCAGTTTACTGGCCCCCAAGTATGAGGTTTGTCACAATCTAAAACAAACTATAAATTTGTTTGACAATAATTATAATTGAAATTGTTTACCTTCAAGAGTAAATTCGGCCTTAACTGCTGCTAGCAAAAACAGACACAAATATACTGACAAAGTTGTGAATACCCTCATTTTTTTTCTCGAAGTGAATTCCTTGCAAGCCATGTTGAAATAAATAGTACATTTTTAATTACCAAAAGCACTGATACGGTAGGAAATTAATGTCAAAATTAGCATTGCGTATGAGGAAAAATTCAAATTTTTATTATTACTTTATTCAACTCGATTAGTTTATCGTTTCGTTGAACCACAAGAGATAACAAAATAATAAAATCCCTAAAGGGAAGATCGGCATCCATTATATACGCCCTTTTCTCATCAGTGTAAGCAGCTGTTCGTTCACATGGACCAATCACCTAAGGGCGTAACATTGCTTTGCCTAGGGTGGTTTTTTGCGGCCAAAAATTTTCGTAACATTTCTTCATTTTATTATGCCTGAAACGCTCTAAGCTGTATAGAGTGTTTAAAGCAAATTACTGTTGCACTTGCCAACTGTTACCGAAAAAACCGCATCGGCCATTATAAAAGAATCTTGATGGAAATGGGCAACGAGGTTTTGACCGCAAAAAAATTATGTGGAGAAAGTTAATATACCTAACTAGCGTTGTTATGGCCAGGAATAGAAATTATTGTCACGACCTCAGAAGCTTCAATGGCTTCTATCTGTGTAAGTTCAATTTTACGCCCAGTGTGCGTAATAGTATCTCTGTGAAGCTCATACATCGACCTCAACTAGCAATAATGACGAAAATCTAGAATTTCTCCTTAAAGAGCTATCAACCAGCCATAGACCAAAGTAGAACAACAAAAACTAATATCATCATAAAAGCAAATTTGACAAATCCAAAAGTGAGAGAAAATTATGCTGTTACTTCAAGAAAAGACTCAACAGAAAATGAACCAGACGGAATGACAAAAAACAGACTACTTTCTATGTAAAAGTGGATACATCTTTGAAGATGTTTGGATGATGGTCATTCCTAGTTCTGTACAGAAAATTTGAGAAAGACGAAAATCGTATTGCGCATTTTCAAGTCTTCTTCCAGTTCAGTCCAGTTCCACACCTAGAATAACCGTAACCAAACATACAGCATCATCCGTGAAACTATTCGAACTAATACGATAATTGTTAACCGATTCAGGTGATCATAGAGTTCTGAGAGCTAAAAATAAAACTCTGGGTCAAAGTTTAAACGAAAAAAGTATGTTTATTTATTTAGTTATCCATACATGGGACTAGCCGATTTCAGTTTACAAAATGGTACAAAAATTGAGCTAATTCTATATAAAACGTAATAATAACAATACATTTGAAAGGAAACTGAGTCTATGAGTCTAGCCATCAATGGTAATGTATTCTATTAAAAAATAACTAGAAGGGGTATTAAATGGAAATTTTTCTTAGGTCAGCAAGAAACTGTTTGCATGATATGCCATAAACATCCAAAGTTTCTGAGTTAGCACCTCATGTTAATCGAGTGATGGGAGAGTTGAAGCCACAATTTGTCCTATGAAAGGGTTGGGTAAATGGATAAGTATTGCGTGTGTTTCGCGGAGGAACATGGAAGTTTAGCCTTTATTAGGATCTGAAATTCAGGATGGTAAACAAAAGTTTCATATCTTGTTGTCTCCGGCGTATCGATAGGGTGTTCATGTTAAGTAAACTCTCTAGATCTGCATAGTCAATCTGCTCACTGGGTATGTTTAGTTTATATGCTGCATAACGAAGAAATGTATGCTGGATATGTTCGATTCTATTTATGTGGACTGCATAATAAGGATTCAAGAGAGAAGAACAATACTCCAAGTGCGATCTAACTAATGAGAAGTAGAGCAATATTATGGAATTTATATTAATAAATTCTGAGGTGGCACGTTTTATGAAACCCAACATGCACTGCACCTTATTTGTAGATAAACGATAAACTGCTGTCCAAAATCACGCCCAGGTCGGTTATTCTCTCAACAGTTGGGAGTACCTCGCTTAGAAGGCTGTAATTTAGAATAATAGGATTGTTTAAGATAGAATCTCATAACCTGGCATTTCTGTGTGTTTAAATCCATACAGTTAAGTGTACACTATTCACTCAGTAAGCCAATCTGGTTCTACAGTCGCACAGTTCCATCAGGTGAGGATATGGTCATGAAGATATTGAAGTCATCTGTGAAAAAAACACAGGAGCCAGCCAAAAAGTTACTCGTTATGTCATTTTTAGAAACATTGAATAACAGATGTCCCAGATGGGAACCCTGAGGAACCCCGGATATGGCGGCACTTTCCTTAGAGAGAAAGTTTCCTGCTCAAACCATGAATGATCTTCCAAGTAGGTAGGAAGAGAGCCAAGCCAAGAGAAAAAGGTTGAAGCTTGACTCTCATAGTGAGAGTGCATGGAAAACAATTTCCATGCTGGTTGGAAAAAAGCATGAAAAAAGAAAAACCGAAAGCAGATTAGGATTAGGATAAGCACGTTTAAACTAGGAAATATGGATGAGCTGAAGGAAGACATACGAAACAAAATACTTCCGTAATCCGCACATAAATCTAAGTGTAATATAGTACAATCTCTCAAGTTGGGGAAATTATGCACTATCTTGCCTGTTGGCTAGCAAATTTGCGCAAAGGCTCAGCGAACTCGAGGACAAACGACGCGCTATAAGACGGAGTTAGCAACCAAAGGAAAAAGTCAGTGCTAAATTATGCGCTGGTCTGTCACAAATGGTGAACTGAAAGCAAATGAGTTATAATGATAGTATACTCAATGAAGCATGTTGATAGTAAGACACTGAGTTCCTCTATCTTTTGATATTTCAATTCCTCTATCTTTTGATATTTCAATTCGTTATATATTTGCAAGTTGATGAAAAGAGAAAAAGAGCACAACCCCATCGATATTGTTCCCTCCCAAAAAGATCCAAAAAGATTCAAAAAACCTTTTTACTAGACTCGACCAACCGGTTGACTTTAAGTGGCATTTGATGAGATACCAATCGAATATTTGCTCTACAAACTAGATTGTTTTGGATCCCGAGGAAATCTATTGTGGAAACTGGGAGAGAGCTTCCTCTCTGAACGTCATTTTCAGCTGAGATTGGCCACAGCACTGTCAGAAGGGCTACAAGCGCTCAATGAGTGGTGTACCACTTCAATTTTGGGATCCCTGCTTTTGCTGGTATCTCAGGGACTAGCGAATGCGTATGAATCAGGCATATCTGAACCGTTAAAGAATAAACATCGGTTTGGAGTATACCATCATCATCATTATCACAATTAGCAATTACTTGATACGTACTGTAAGCTTTGATACCGAGTATAATTATCTTTCATTCTATTCTTATTGTCGTCGATTTCTGATGGCTGTATTGTCCACTGGTCTCACACGAGATGGATATAAAAACCGATGCAGCCCATGTTATCAGCATCAGACATTCGGGTTTGTCTCTTCTTAGGATCTTTCAGGAAGCCATAGTATTTCCTTTTGGTTCACATCTCTCTTCTCAGGGTTGCCTTACCCCAGAGAGTCTTGGAGCAATTCCCTTTAGGGTCTCACCGCCAATACGTGTAGGGACCAGATTCACATCAAAAGAACGATTGTACATTTGGTTCTTCAAGTCGTGAAGACATATTCACAAACAAATGTTTCGTCTGGTTTTACATTTTCTCCCTGCTGTCGCAAGTGCCCTGTCTGGTTGCAGTATCCCGACTGATTAGGATTCTCTCAAGCCTGCGCGGTGCCCAAGTATACCTTGGGTGGGAGTGGTTTTTTTCAGTTATCCTTTTAATTCCCTAATTTTCTCAAAACACTTTCAACCTCAACATTTTTACACCAATTCATAACAAACACACGCACTTTCGCGCACTTCGGGGTTAACACTCAGACACTGGTCTAAGCATACACACACACACACACACACACACACACACACACACACACACACACACACACACACACACACACACACACACACACACACACACACACACACACACACACACACACACACACACACACACACACACACACACACACACACACACACACACACACACACACACACACACACACACACACACACACACACACACACACACACACACACACACACACACACACACACACACACACACACACACACACACACACACACACACACACACACACACACACACACACACACACACACACACACACACACACACACACACACACACACACACACACACACACACACACACACACACACACACACACACACACACACACACACACACACACACACACACACACACACACACACACACACACACACACACACACACACACACACACACACACACACACACACACACACACACACACACACACACACACACACACACACCTACAATGTCGTGCCCTTCGGGGTTAACACTTAGACACCAGTCTAAGCACAAACACTACACAAACAAAGATAACACAATACAATTATACCAATGGACACTATCAACACATTGGCCAAATCCCAAGAAACATTGGGAAAGGAAATTCAACGCCACATAGTCAATTTTAAGAAAGAGTCTACAAGTAGAAAAACCGAGCAATATTATCAAGACAAAATAAATGTGCTCAAGTCAGTCTGGGAAGAAATCGAGAAAAATCATGTTGGTGAACAAAAGTGTCATTCTCATGTATACTACACCGATAAGTATATGGAACAGCTTACCTAAATCTATAATGATGCCATAGCGTACATTATTGGTAAGAAGGAGCAACACAGTTTCATTCTCCAACCAAGCGCTGCAAGCTCCGTCAAACCGACTGTAGGAAGAAGAAGTTCGAATCAATCAACTTAGCCAGATTCTAGACAAAATCATCAATGATTTGCAGGTGGAAAAATCAGTCAGTCGTTATCAACAAAATTTCGAAGCATTGGGAAACCATCTCCGAAATATACATTGAGCTACAAGTTCAGGGCCGTTCTTAAACACTTAAGAATCCCTACGAAGAAATCGAGCTCAAATATGAAGATGTTCTGGAAACATTGGAATCCAAAATCCGAGGCCAGGATATTCCTACTCAAGCACCAAAATTATGCGATAT